GGCATGAACCCGCTGCACCACAGCGCTGGCCCCTAAATAGTAGTTCCTTAAGGAATCTGCCCAAGTCATCGATGAAAACATCATATAATGACTAGGGATCAGTTAACAGACACTCCAAAGCATTAAGGAATTATTTGGGGGCCGGGGAAGAGAGGGAGAGAGACAGAGAAGGAGATGGAGAGGGAGCCTGCAACTGCAGGGGCCGGGCCAGGCCCAGGGGAGACCCCACCCACGTCTCCCAGGTGGGTGGCCGGGACCAGCTTGCCTGAGCCATCACGGCTGCCCCCCAGGAGGCCGGAACTCGGTACTGAACCCAGGCACACTCTGTACCGGGACAAGAGCGCCTGGACCGTTGGGCTGGATGCCCACCCCATGGGGACTTTCCCAGCCGCTAAAAAGCATTGTTCAGTGTAGACTCTGTGTGCTGTGACACCGCGCAGGCGACCGAAGAGGTTCATGGAAAACGCACGCTGTGCTGCGGAGAAGCTGTGCCCGGGTCCCAGCAGTTCCGCACCACCGTGCCTTATCTTCCGTTCCATCTTCCCACAAACCGGTTCTCTGATGTTTTGCTGTTTGCCTTTCTCCACGCCCTGCACTCCGCCGCTCTGTGTTGTCAGCTCCTCACAGGTGCCTGGGGCAGACGGCCAGCGAGCGTGGCCGCAGCCGCCCCACGCAACTATCGACAATGTTCCCGGGGATGCGTGAGGACCCTCGATGAGATAATCCTCAGAGAGGTGCGGGCTGAGACCCCCACGGACACCCCTCCACCTGCACCAGCCACAGCCGTGGAAGAGGCGGGAACTGGCCTGCGGTGACGCACAGAAGTCGGAACCCTCCTGCTCTTTGGGGTGACAGAAGAATTCCAGAATCGGACAGGCTTTTAGGCAACCCCAAAACTCAACAGGAGGGGAGAGGAGGCGCTGAATTCTGACCAGAGGTGCGGGGGCGCTGTCCGGAACAGAGAGCAGGGCTGAGTATAGACCCCGGGTCCTCTCCGTCTTGGTCTCCGTTGGCACTGGCTGGTCCCCTGGCACAGGTGCAGACCTGGGGCTCAGCGATGTCGGGGGGCTTGCCCTCCACCACAGAAGGCAGCAGGATGGGCTGCATGGACGGGTGCGGGCCGAGCGTGGTGCACACAGAGACAGCGACACGTGCAAGGGCCGTGGGCCGGAGCCCGCACTCCGCCAGCCAGGCGATCAGTGAGCATCTGGACCCAGGGTCTTCATGAACAGCGCTCAGGGCGAGCATGGAAGGGTCTGTGCGGGGAGGAAGCCCGGGCTTTATTCTGGGTTCTTCAGAGACCTGCAGCCGAGGGCAGGATGCTGGCACAGAGGTGGCCCCGCTGCAGAGCCAGGGCTGAGGGGCCTGGCGCGTGGTCCAGGAGATGGGACTGAGGCCCATCCTGAGGGTGCTGAGCTAAACACGGCAGAATGCAGCAGAACCCACTCCCAGCTGGTGCAGCACCCCAAATGTTCCCGGGGACCCCAGCCCGGGGAGTGAGCTGAACTGAGTGCTGCAGCCTGGGGCGCTGTCCAGTCCAGGGCTCCCAGCCCCTTGGCTCTGGGATCCGCTCCCTGGGCTGGCTGCCTTCCGCTGCGAGGAGCCGGGGCACTTCAACTCCCGGCAGGTGGTGCGGCCCCTTTGCCTGTCCTGGTCTCCCCCAGGCGACCGAGATCCCACGGGAGGCAGGGGGCCAGGCACAGCGGCTGTCCAGATTCAGCAGGTCCCGGAGATGCTCAGGTGCCCGGGTCTGGCCTGGACCTCGGTGTGGTGGTGCGGGTGAGCGTCAGGTCCACTGGCAGCTGGGGGCTTTGTCCCTGATCGCTTTACCTCGCTGTGCCTCCGAGTTTGCATCTAGGAAACAGACGGTGGTGACAACGTGGCCTTGTGGGAAGGCTTGTGCCAGTGCACACAAGCGGGTGAATGAGACACTCTAAAACCTAACACGTATCCGCAGTTCTTGTTTCTAAATCTTCCAATTCCTTGCTCTCAGAATACGACCTGGAGGCCACCTGCTTCTCTCACGGTGTAGCAGTCGTTTCCATTAGTTCTTAAAACAACCGAATTCTCAAGCACTGCGTCTTAGATCGGTCCATGCCGCCGGAACCAGCACAGGTTGCATGACCGCGGTGCAGTCGGCGCTGCTGGCTGGGCTGTGGGGGGCTGGTGCCTCACGGCGCGTGCGCCTCCAGCGTTTGTCTCCCGAGCGCCGCTGCACTTTCCGAAAGGGAACCGGGGAGGGGAGGGCATTTGCAGAGGTCAAGTTGAGGCAGGGATGAAGACCGTGTTTTTCTCTTTCCGCTTCTCCCTTTCGGCGCGTTCCTGCTGCCCTGTCCTGGCCCCAGAGACGGCTGGATGTCCAGCTCTGCTCTCCACGCCGGCAAGAGCAGCGAGAGACAGATTGATCCACCGCCCCAGGACGCAGCCAGCCGCTCCCCGTAGGAACAGCGAGGCCTTCAGCTCCGTGGGACCTGCAGTCACCCAGAGAGACAGCAGCAGCCCGAGCAGTACCCTAAGCAGATGCTGGGCCCGTGACTTGTGTCCTGCGGCCGCACTCCAGCCAGCAAACGTCAATACCTGGGCAGAGAGAGGCCAGGGAACAGAGAGGGGAGGCCACAGAGGGCTTGGGAGGCGGCGGCATCTGGAGCCCCTGCCCCTGCCCCACCCCCTCTCTCTGTGGCCGATCCCCTCTGTGCCTGGATTCTGACCGCTCCCTGCTCCAGTGTGGACGCTCCTCATCTTCCATCTGCGCAGCTTTGAAAATGTGATGGAAGAAAGTGCACGCCCTGGGGAGAAGCCCGCGGAGCGCAGGTCTGGGAGCGCAGCCTCGGCGTGGCCGTGGAGCTCAGGTCTGGGAGCGCGGCCTCGGCGTGGCCGTGGAGCGCAGGTCTGGGAGCGCGGCCTCGGCGTGGCCGTGGAGCTCAGGTCTGGGAGCGCGGCCTCGGCGTGGCCGTGGAGCGCAGGTCTGGGAGCGCGGCCTCGGCGTGGCCGTGGAGCTCAGGTCTGGGAGCGCGGCCTCGGCGTGGCCGTGGAGCTCAGGTCTGGGAGCGCGGCCTCGGCGTGGCCGTGGAGCTCAGGTCTGGGAGCGCGGCCTCGGCGTGGCCGTGGAGCGCAGGTCTGGGAGCGCGGCCTCGGCGTGACTGTGAAGCTCAGATCTGGGAGCGCAGGCTGCTCTGTGTGATTCTTGCATCTTTGGAAGACCACTATAGCCATTAGCAAGTGTTTAGCTCTTGCCCCAAACTCTGCTCTGCTCTGGCCTGGGCCATTCCCAGGGACTGTGTGAGACCCAACACTGCTGCAATCAAGTAGACAAACAGCCTCAGCCCCCGACTCACATCACCTGCGGGGCGCTTCTCCTGTGTGTGCATTGTGGTACCCAAAGACTGACGGAAACACACACCCAGAGCATCTGACACACACCAAGTATCTGATACACAGAGTAGGTGACACCTAGGGTACCTGACACACACCCAGGGTACCTGACACACACCCAGAGTACCTGACACACACACACACACACAGTACCTGACACACACTCAGAGCATCTGAGAGAGTATCTGATACACAGAGTACCTGACAGACACACACTGAGTACCTGACACACACCCAGGGCATCTGACACACACACAGAGTACCTGACACACCCAGAGTACCTGACACACATGCAGAGTGCCTGACACACTCAGAGTATCTGACACACTCAGAGTACCTGACACATTCTCTCCCTCTCTCTCTCTCTCTCTCTCACACACACACACACACACATTCCAGTCTCAAGCCTCTGGCCCCTGACCTTGGTGGCCCCTGACCTTGGTGGCCCCTGACCTTGGTGGCCCGACCTTGGTGGCAGAGCCAGCAGAAAGGATCAGGTGTGGCCAGGTCCCCAGCAGTGTGAACTGTAAACTCTCCCAAGAGAGGAGGATTCTGGGTACTCCAGAGGTGAGGGCCGCAGAGGTGGGGCCATCAGGTGCAGCTGGGTCGCACCTGCCTTGCAGTGTTGTAGGGACGGAGTGCAAAGTGCAGGAAGGAGAGCAGGGGCGAGGGGAGAGTGGGGGCGGCCTGCGGGAGCAGGGGAAGAGTGTGGACGGCCTGCGGGGTGGGGGAGAGAGTGCGGAAGGCCTGTGGGGGGGGAGTGGGGGCTGCCTGCGGGTTGGGGGAGAGTGTGGGCGGCCTGTGCCGGGGTGGGGGGAGTGGGGGCTGCCTGCGGGGTGGGGGAGAGTGTGGACAGCCTGCGGGGTGGGGGGAGTGTGGGCGGCCTGCAGGGCAGGGGGAGTGGGGGCTGCCTGCAGGGCGGGGGGAGAGTGTGGACAGCCTGCGGGGAGAGCGCCCTGCGAGAGGCTGAGAGAAGGGGGGCTCGCTGTCCAGGGGTCCCCTGTATGGGGCAGGAGGCGGTGCCCTCACCAAATACACAAACGGGCTGGAGTCTGGATGGGGCTTCACACAAGCGCAGTTCTCGATGGGAGCTCCATGGCGTGGCCACGTGGCGCTAGCGTGCACCTGCTCTCCGTGCAGTGCCCCCTGGGCAAGGGGCCTGCCGGGGGCCTGTGGGGGTGGGGTTAGAGCACAGCTCACTGACTCCCATGCCCCGGGGCAGAGGGGTGCGTGGAACTGGGCAGGAGTTGAAACCGTCCTTCGTCGCCGTGGGGCTGTGGGCTCTGGCGCTGGGACTGACCCAGCTGGACCCCTGCTTCCACTCTAGCTGTGACGCTGGGAGGATGAAGCGTGAGTTCACATTCCTGAGCACACGGTGCCAAGGGGGGCACGTGCAGACACGCCGTGCCGCTGTGGGGGACCAGAGCCCGTCTCAGCGTCCCAGCACCGCTAACTTGGACATCGCCCTGCCAAAGCCACTTTCCAGGAACGTGGGTGCCGTGGCTGGACTAGGAATTGACCTCTGAACTCACGTGGGTGGTTGGGCCCTGGAATCTGGGGCTTGGGAGGGTGGAGCCTTGATCCAATTGTGGGGTCCAGGAGGTGGGCCTGCTGGGAGGCCCCTGGGAGGAGGGTCTTGAGGAGGCCTGGTCAGGCCTGGTTGCGGTCCCTGCTTCCGGCTCACTGCTCGCTCTCCACCCACCCCCCCCAGCCTGCAGCCTCACCAGTGGCAGACGGGGGCTCCCTCTCGGAATTGGCCCTCCGAAATCCTGGGCACCACGAGCTTTGCATAGCTTGTTTCAGGCATTAGTTATAGTGATGAGAAGCTAATCCATTAACCTGCTGGAAGAGTTTTATCTTTCATTTAGTTATTAAGATTTATTTATCTATTTATTTGAAAGGCAGAATTAGAGAAAAGAGAGGGAGAGAGAGAGCTGCTCCATCCACTGGTTCACTTCCCAGATGACCGCAATGGCTGGGGCTGGGCCAGGCTGAAGCCAGGAGCCAGGAGCTTCCTCTGGGTCTCCACAGGGTGCAGGGGCCCAAGCACTTGGACCGTCTTCCACTGCCAGCAGGGAGCTGGGTCGGGAGTGGAGCCGCCCGGAGGTGATCCATTGCCTAGATGGGCTGCTGGCACTGCAGGCGGCTCCTTAACTTTGCTGTGCCAGAGCCGGCCAAGAAAGCCTTTTCGCACATTCGTGTAGACCTGTGTGAGAAGTTTCCGGAGTGCAGAGCTTTGCTTTGCTGTCTTTTCAGCCACCCCATGCTGCCTTGGCTTCTCCCTCGTCAATGGTGGCGGGAACCTGTGTGCCTCGGTCAGCGGGTGGCTCTACCACGACGTCACGGCCGGTGGCTCACATGGTGTGCATGTCACGGCTGAGTAGCCCCCATGGCACACACAGGAGGTCACTGTCGTGTGGCCCGCACAGCATGTATACAACGTCACGGCCGGTGGCTCACACAGTGTGCATGAGATGTCATGGCCGGTGGCTCCCACCGTGCGCCCCTGTTTCTTGGGTTCTGGAAGCGAGAAGTCAAGATGGCGGTGGCGGCGTGGCCGGGTTTCTGGTGGGGACTGTTCCAGGCATGGCCAGCTGTGTTCTCTTACGGAGACTGGACGGGCAGCTCTCTGGCTCCTCTTGTTTTTTCTTCTCTTTTTTTTTTTTGGAAATGCTTTCTCTATTTGGTTGAAAGGCAATGCTACCAAGAGAGAGAGACAGACACACACACACACACACACACACACACACAGAGCGAGCGAACGAGCTTCTACCCTCTGGTTCACCTCCTAGATAGATGGCCACAGTGAATCCAGAGGCCTGGAACTCCGGGCAGAAAAGAAGATTGGACTTCTTGGGAAACTGTTTTAGACTCTCTGGAGGGGTGGAGCTCCAGGATTCTGGTGGTGGGGAACAGCCAGAGGCCAGGACGCCAGGAGAGGAAACCGTGGTTCACGTTCCCGTGGAAGCATGCTCGCAGGCGTCTCGGCAGCCCCGGGAGCAAGCAAGATGACGCCTCCCGATCCGGCTGGCGCTGCCCACGCGCACCAGCGGCCACTCCTGCTGCGGGGGCCTGGGCGTGGACGGCCCTCGGGCGCCTCCCCTGCACCTGGGAGGCCGACCTGTATGCCCCCAGCCCCGGGATCGTCCCCGCCTGTCTTCTGTGGCCCCTGCAGAAGTCCCCAGCCCCACTGGCCCTGCCAGCTCAGAGCAGGAAAGCGAGGGTCCCGTGGGAGGGGTGGGGTGGGAGCCTGAGCCCTCCCAGCTGGCTTTGCGCTCTCTCCGGAGCCCGAGGGCTCCGGGACCCGCGGAGCCTGGATGCTGCCGCTGTGAGCAGTCAGGGGATCATGGACTTCCCTCGCAGGCTGCGCGTGAGCGTGTGCACCACGAAGCAGACGGCACTTAGGAGTCCCGTGCACTGTGCTGTGAGCCGCTTCGTGTCTGCTGACGGAGTGATACTGAAATTAATGAAGATGAAACGGACACCCCGAGGCCCGTGGGGACGCTTTTTTCCTTTCCAGATAGTGCAGCTGTGACCTTGACTTTCCTCACAGGACCTCATTTTTTTTTTTTTTTTGAATTGCAACATTTTCAACAATGAACATGCAGCACCTTGCATAATTTAAAAGCGAGCTTTAAAAGTTTGCAGTACAGGCGGATTCTGAGCCCCCAGAGCAGACTCCACAAACAAAGCTCACCCTCCCGAGATGAAAAAATGTCTGGACAAGACGTTGTCGTGGACAGCGAACGGTGGCAGACGTGTCCAGGGAGTATGTGGAATCCGAGCCTCGTGGGTCCTGCGACAGAACGGGCCAGCAGGACACAGGAGTGGCGGTCAGCCCAAAAAACAGCATCGTGGAGCTGGAGGCCCGGGACCCTGTATAACAAGGGCTGCTTGCCCAGGAGTCCGTGTCCCCTCTCCAAAGGCCCTGTTTGCTAGGATGTGAAGGTTGGTTCAGTGCACTCCACGTTCAGCTTTTGTTAAGTAAACCTCTGTGAGTGAGAAAGCAGGGACGTTCAGAGCCTGGACGGCAAGGGAGGCCCACGTAGCCAAACACCACTGGAGCCCGGGAGAACACACTGCAGGTGCACCCCCAGGGCTCTAGCTGGGGGGGGGCTCTGCAGAGCGGGGCAGGTGCACCCCAGGGCTCTAGCTGCGGGGGGGGGGGCCTCTGCAGAGCGGGGCAGGTGCACCCCAGGGCTCCGGCTGGGGGGGGCTCTGCAGAGCGGGGCAGGTGCACCCCAGGGCTCCCACTGCGGGTGGGGGGGGGGCTCTGCAGACTCCCGTGTCCCTCAGACCCTTCTCCCCACCTGCAGATACCTGCGGCCCTCAGCTGGGGGTGTGATTCTATCACAGGTTTAGGCCGAATGGCCCAGGGAAGGCTTGATCACCATCACTCCAGAACCGCACCGCCCCCAGCCCGCTCCTCCCGGTGAAAACCACGGCACTGGCAGAGGGCGGGCCGGCCAGGTCGTCAGGGCGCAGGCAGCCCGCCTTTCCCTGCCCGGCTGCTCGCCGCGTTTTGTCTCCTTCTGCTTTCACAACAAACTCTTGGTGCCTGCCATTAGACAGGAGGGAGGCAGAGGCGCCCGGGAGGGGCCGCCGCTCACTGGGACGAGTTCACAGCGCCCAGGAGGCCTGGGTTTCACCAACACCGTGATCCGGCCTCTGCGGATGCAGCAGGCTGGCAGAGAAGGGCACCTCCCCGCCAAGGCCGACTTCCCGGACACGGCGGGTGGGGGTGGGGGGCTGGTCCTCGCCTCGCCCCAGGAGACCCGGGTCTGCTCCGCAGCCCAGCGCCCCCGCTCTCAGCCTCACCCGGCCCGGGCCGCAGGGTCTCTCCCCATTGTTTCCCCGGCGTCCGCCGCAGGGCCTGGCGTTCCTCGCGTGTGCGGGACAGTGAGGGGCGGCGAAGCGCACAAAAGACGCAGGAGGCGCTCGGCGCGGGAGGGTCCGCTCTGGGCGCCCGCGAAGCGCCCAGCGCGCCTGGGAGCAGAACACCCCCTTCCCGCGGGCGGGGCGTCGCCGGCCTCCGCGGGGGTCACGGAGGCCCGGGCCGGCCGCTGCTGGATCTTTCCGGACCCCCAGCACTCGGGTCCAGGCAGGCAGGGGGCGATGGGCAGCGGCGCCCAGCGCTTCCCTCCAGCGCCGCTTCGCGCGCGTCGCCGGGCTCGGCCCACCTCGCAGCCCCGGGCGGGTGCGGCGGGCCCAGCCTGGCCAGGGACCAGGACCCCGCGGCGGGCGGGGGACGCAGCGCTGCCCGCAGCGGGGCCCCCAGCCGGCCAGGGTCTCCGCGGGGCTGGGCCCAGGAAGGCCGGACCGGACACCGGGCCTCCTCCCGCCGGCGCGGGCGCGCGCGCTCCGCCCCTCCGGCCGCCGGGGCAGCCCCTCGCCAGCCCTTCCTCCCCGGCGGGAGCGGGGCGCGCGGGAGCCGGGCACCGGGCGCGGGCGGGCGGGCGGGCGGGTCCGGCCGCGCGGCTCTCGTGCGCGCGGCTGCCGGGGAGGCCCCGCCCCCGCGCCCGCGCGCCCCTCCCGCCGCCGGCCCCGCCCGCCCTGCCGCCCGCCGGGGACGGTCGCCGGCCGCGCTGCGTGCCCACTGTGCGAGCCGCCGCGCTCGGGGCCGGGGAGCGGGCCGCGCGCCGCCGCTTCGCGCTCACGCCCGCGGGCCCGCCCGGGGCTCGGCTAGGGCCGTGCAGGGAGGGGGCCGAGCCGGACGCGCCGTGGCCGAGGGAGAGGAGGAGGAGGTGGAGGAGGAGGAGGAGGAGGAGGGGCCGGCGAGGCGGACCGGGGCGGGGGGCCGCGGGGGCCGCCTCAGCCCCCCGCGAGCGCCCGAGGTAAGCGGGCCGGGGCGCGGCGGGCAGGGGAGGCCTGCGGGCGCCGCGGTGTGGGGTGTGGGGTTCGGGGTTCGAGCCGCTGCGGGCCGGGGCCGCTGCGGGGCCGAGGCCGGGCCGGACTTTACCGCGGGCCCGGCCCCGCGCACAGCCCCCGGACTTGGCTGGCCGAGGCTGGGGCGGCGGAGCCGACTCTCCCGGTGCGTTCTGCCGCCCCGCCCGAGGACGCGGGGCTGTGCGCGCTGCGGCCCCGGACGCCTGAAGTGCCGGCCTCTCCGGGGTGCCACGCGTGCCCGGCGCGGTCCTCCGTGGCGCCCCCCGAACCCCGCCGAGGGGCTCTTCCCGGTCAGTGTGTGCGGGGCGCGGCGGGGCCCGGGGTCCGAGGCTCGGTGGCCGGGTGCTGGCGCCGGCCCCGGAGCGCGCGGCCGCAGATAAAAATACACAACCGCGTCCCCCGGGAGGCGGGCGCGCTTCCGAGAGGAGCGGTAGGTTTCCAGCTGGAAGTTGACGAGCTCTGAGCTGTCTCGAGGAAAATCGTTTTAAAAGAGACACGGTTCTGCTGTTGTGCCCGGGTTCCGGGCCTGGGGTGACTCTGGCCGTGACCTGCCCTGGCCACCCGGGCCTCGGCGGGGACGCGGGCTCCCCGGAGCGAGCGCGGACCCTTTGGGGACCTGGCACCTCCTGCCCTGGCACGGGCGGGCCTTCCAGCCCAGGGGACTCGCCCTCGCTCGCCCTTCAGCTGGGCGGAGTCCAGGCCTTCAGGGCAGAGCCGCGCGGGGGCAGGTGGAGGTGTTCCCAATTGGAAGTCCAGAGTGCCGAGTTTGGGGGCCTTCTCCCCTGTTCTGTGCTGCTCCGCCTGGGACCACGGGGTCCGTGGCACGCATGCCCAGGTGGCCTTTTTGGAAGTGCCTTGATTGGACAAAGGCCATGGATTTGGACTTGGTCACCTCTCTTCGGTCTGCGACTTTCGAAGTGGGAAGTGCCAGGGAGAAGGGAGCTGAGTGTGTGTGTGTGTGTGTGTGAACATCAAACCTGCCCGGATCCTGGAGTCAGCCTAGAAGTGTCACACCGTCGGCAGACACGGCTCAGAGGGGCCGTCAGGCACTTCTGCAGCCCGGCCTCCGACCCCACCAGGCCGATGCCCACTGGTGGGCGGTGGGGAGGCCTGGCACCCTGCACTGTTGGAAGTTCACGGGGCAGACAGTTCCACTTGCTGGCTCTGTGTTCTTGGCTGGCCATGTGTGCCCTCCCCGCCCTGGGTCACTTTGTCATTTCTGGCACGGGTGGGCCGCTGTCTGCGGAGCTGAGCTCCCTGGAGACTCACAGGGTGCGGGTCCGCAGCCTGCCCTTCCCTGGTGCTGTTTGCTGGGCCTGAGCACAGAGCCCCTGTCTCCGGCAAGGAGCAAGGCGGTTGGTTTGCCGCGCTGTTGGCTCAGGGACCAGGCAGGCCAGGAGAGCTGCATCCCGCGTGGCGTGGTCCTCATGCCTCCCATTCCCAGGGTGGGGTTGTCTGTTTGTGGTCAGGGAAGAGGACATGGCAGGCTGGGAGGGACAGTGAATGTCAAGGCCGGAGGTGGATTCACAGCAGATGCCGCCCCCGGTCCTGTGGCTCCCAGGAGTAGGCACAAAGGCCCTGGGGTTCTGTATCCTTGGAGGTTTCCTTCCAGCTCTGCTGTGAGGGTGGCCCTCGCTGTGTTGGGGCCCTCTGCCTCCAACCCAAATCTAAAGCGGGGGGCCGTGTGGGCAGAGCTTGCTGGGGCGGTCCTGGGCCTGCTCACCAGGGTGTGAGATGGCAACTCAGCAGGCAGGGGCGAGGGGGGCTGGCCGGGGGACTGCACTCCGTGTCCATCAGGTGTCCTGGCGGTGGACCACAGGCCTGTGTGGAAATGCTTCTTGTAGAAGTCGGTTTGCTAGGACGTAAATCAGCCTGTGCATCCGGTACCTGGGAGTGCATGGGAACCTACAGCCTACGAATGCTGCCTAGGAAACGGATACAGTGTAGCCCGCTCCCAGGGTGGAGAGAGGTTCCCGGAGGTCACACAGCTGTGAGCACCCGGCACAGCCGCACAGTGCTAGGAATTGGTGGCTTTTTAGTAAACAAGTGCATTTTTGACCACCGCATGGTGCCCCTTGAGCTCCAGTTCCAGAAGGGGGCGGCGTGTGCTTAATCAGGTTCTTGATAAGACACGAGTGGGAGTGGTGCTGGGCCAGCGTCAGATGATGCTGGGGACACTGGCAGCGCCGGCAGAGGCCGGGCGCTGGAGAATGGCAGAATGGAGCTGTATTTTAAAGGACGGTGACGGTTTTGACTTCCAGAGATCATAATTCAGGAGCCGATCTGGCAGCAGCCTGTAAATTATCTATGCACGTGTTTTTGCAGTAGGCAGTTACTTAGCTTGACTGTCCGGGTTCTGAGTTTAATTTTACAAGTTACAGTTGCAACAAGCAGCAGCATGACAGGCTGTGGTTGTGCAATTCCAAGGCGAGCCTGGCTGGCGGGAGCAGACCCGAGCCCCCGCCGGGGTCTGCAGGCTCTGGGCTCTCGGAGCTCCTCCACTGTGCTCTGCCGTTCCCTGTGCGCTCAGAGACCCCCTTCTTGGCGGCCGCTCCCCGCCTGGGGAGCCGGGCGCCCGGAGTCAGCCCAGGGAGTGAAAGGGTGCAAGGTCTCAGCCCTCGGGGAAAATCCGCCGGTCTCAGTCGGTCTCAGTCGTAGGCATCCCCAGGCCAGTGTAGGGGTTCCTGGAGCCGGGCCTGCAGTGGGACTCTCTTTGACAGGAATGGGGGCGTGGCCAGCCTGCTGGTTTGTGGCAGGGCAGGGGCAGTCCTCACCTGGGACCTGGGGGAGGGGCCCTGCCTGTTGTCCCCATGCCTCCTTTGACTTCTGCTGGGCTGCGGGGTTTTCCCAGCTGCGGTCTCCCTGGGAGCAGAGCCTGGACACAGCAGCAGCTCCGCCTCCTGGTCTTTTCAGTTCCCTCCACCGCCTTCACCGTCGCCCCGAGCCCCCGCACTCCCTGTCTCTCCCCTCCTCTGCCACAGGTCCCTGCCACCTCCCATCCCGCCCGCTTCACCCCCTGGCCCTCAGCCGTGGCTTCGTGTCTCGGTGAGCGTCCAGGGCTCCTCCCTCCTGCCTGCCTCTCCCAGCGGCTGCTCCCGGCCCCCAGGGCCCGTGCCCGTCCTGCCCTGCCCGCCCACTCCCCCTCAGCCCTGTGCTGCACATACGTGCCCCTGCCTGCCTCCCTGCACACGCGTGCATGGAGATGGTGGCTGCCGTCCACACCTGTCTGCCAGGTGGGTACTGCGGCTTCCCGCTCTCTGCTCTCCCTGTGGCGTGCTGACTTTGTACCAGCCCGAGGAGAGCGCTGCTGCCTCGCTGGGCTGCTGCCTCCCCAGTTGGGTAATCGGTAAAGGAAACATCTTGATGCTTATTGTGATTTTAAAGGTTTGCACACAAATCCTGAGAAGCATGTCAGAGGTTCCCCTAAGAGCCACCGAAAGGCTTTGTCGCACCCCAGTCACAGAAGTTGACTTCTTCGTTATTGGTATTTTTTTTCCGTCCCTTGGTTAAATCAGTGCTGGTTAAATAAATATTACTCTAACTTAAACCACATTTTTTCTCATTTATTGTGGTTTTATTGCATTCTGGGAGAATTTTATAAGCTCGTGGGACACATTGATGCCAAGCAAAGTGCTTTAGCTGCGACCCGGTGCCCTGCGCTCCCGTGAGTGTGCAGCCTGTGCTGGTCGTTTCGGTCGGTCAGCGGGAAGAAAAGCGACAAACTGAGGATGGCGTCCGGGAGGAGCAGCCGCGTGGACTCCCCACACAGTGTCTGCAGAGAGCTGCCCCTCGCGGGTGGTGGTCAGGCCCCCGCCAGTGTCCCAGGTGGCGTCCAGGAGGAGCAGCCGCGTGGACTCCCCACGCAGTGTCTGCAGAGAGCTGCCCCTCGCGGGTGGTGGTCAGGCCCCCGCCAGTGTCCCAGGCGGCGTCCAGGAGGAGCAGCCGCGTGGACTCCCCACGCAGTGTCTGCAGAGAGCTGCCCCTCGCGGGTGGTGATCAGGCCCCCCCCACCCCGGTGCCCCAGGCTTCTAGACGGAGCTGCTGGCAGCCATGCTCCGAGTGCTGGGCTGTGCGGCAGGTTCAGGCCGTTGTCACCCGTCTGTGGTGTCCACTGGCTGGGACACGGCACGCCTTTCTTGGCTGTCATTGGGGAGGTGAGTGTGGGTGCAGCGCTGCCAGCCCCAGGGGTCGCTTGCTGCTCCAGGCCCCTCCCCAGCCTGGTGGGTCAGCCGGTGGTGGTTTCCCGCATCACCCCGGGAACTGGGCAGGCCAGGGGTGGAGGGAGTGGCCGCAGGCCTCCAGACGAATGCTCACCAAGTTCACATGGGTCCCCTCTGCAAGCTGTGCCAGCAGCAGTTTCCCTAAGGCCATTGCCCAACAGCTCTTATCAGGGCCAGGCTATAAAGGGATGAGAACACAAATCTCATTGTGTGTCTCAGGCAGGCTCTGGATAAGGAAGTGAGAATCCGGGAACCTCTGGGTTGCTCAATATTGGCTGGAAACGCAGTGTTCTGGTGTCTGTACCAGGAATCCCTGGCCGCTTGCACTGAGCTTCCCAGGAAGTCCTGCGCGCAGCCTCCGCGGCTCAGCCCCAGGTCCGCTCCCCTCTGCCGTCTCCCCGCATCCTGCACCGCGCGTGTGCGGCGTTGATGGTCACTCACGCACACGTCGTCCCCAGCTCCCCTGTGCTGGCCGCTGCCCTGCCGCGGCGCCTTCTGGTTCCGACAGAGCCCGGAGGCTCCGGCTGATGGACAGCGGGTCCTTGGGCTCGGGGTTTGTCTCCGTGAAGACCCCAG